TAAGCTTATGGTCAAAGATAAGTCCGAAGAAATTTGTCTCGGCCACCACGAGAAGAACATCATCACCGAGATGGATCTCTGGATCAAGATGCAAACTCCGCTGGCAGCAAAAATGTAGCAAACAGTCTTAGAAGAAAAGAAGGTGAGTGATAGCAATCTGAAACTGCTGCTCATGTTAAATGACCATCAAGAAATGTGGAAGTCGTTGACATATAGGCTGTTTGGAACAGTAGGAGGAAGTTGTTCAATGATAGCAGTGATCTTAATACTGGAAAGTGTGACACTCAAGACACAACCCTGAGGGACGCCAACTTTTGTGTGAAGGATTAGGATATGTTTGAACCCATACAGACATGGAAACTCTGGCCCAGTAAAAAGTTGCAAATGAAAATGGGTAAATGGCCACGCAACCCATATGAATGGAGGTCACGCAAAATGCCAAACATCCATGTAATGTCATAAGCCTTCTCAAGATCAAAGAAGAGAAATAAAATCTTTAACTCTTGAGGAAGGCTTCCATGATCGAGGTTTCGAGACGAATCATGTAGTCTACGAAAACCACATTGGTTGGACGAGAGGAGGTCGTTTGATTCAAGAAACCAAACAAGACGAGCATTAACCATCAGTTTTGGGGACTGAACGAACATTTGCTTGAATAATACAATCAGTTAGAGTTTTCATGCAGTTGTTAATAGATGGAAGACTAATGGCAGCAGTTCCCAGAGAGTGGTGAAGGAGAGCAAGTCAGCGAGTCGGATGGCATCGACTGTGGCCAATCTTACTCTACACAATGGGAAAATGATCACTGCCCAGTGGGTCGTCATTGTCAATCCTCCAAGAAATATGCGAAAAAAAGTGAAGGTGAACAAATAGATAGATCTATAGCAGTAAACGACTGATTAGTTGCATGAAAATAGGTAAAGGAAACAGTACTGAAGAGAGAAAGGTTGTGATCTGAGAGCATATGCTCCACAGAACGACTCCTCCCATTAATATCAGCAGCGCCACCACAGGGGTGATTGTGTCCATTAAAATCTCCCAAGATGAAGAAGGGAGATGGCAGCTGGTCAATATGATCATGAAGGTCTGAATGATCATAAGCCTCTCCTGCAGACAGGTAAAGAGAACACATAGTAATGGTACGACCCATTGAGTTACGGACAGCTACAACCTTCAAGGATGTACTGAGTGGCACAAACATGGTGGGTATATGCTGGTCAATCAGCAGTGCCACACCTCCATGAAATCGGCCACAACACAACCTGTCATTTTGATATAAAGAAAACTGCCAAAAGGTGACAGCATCAGCAGGTCTCAGGAATGTTTTCTATAAGGAGAGATACACGGGATGATAGGAATCGATCAAGGCCTTAATGCCATCCAAATTAGAACAAAAACCTCGTCAGTTCCACTGTATCACAGTGGCCATTGTTATTTAAAAGGAGGATAACTGGGAGGAGAACCCTTTTCTTTGCGACCACGATGTTATTCTTTAGTAGAAAGAGTTATTTCGACCTCCATGGAACCTGCCCTGGGTCGTTTAGGCAGATCTCTGTCAGTAGAAGGAGTCCCTAGAGAGTAAGGGCACGACCTAATAATGGTTATGTCCCTCTGGGTCGAAGGAGAGGGACCCCGAGCAGTCACTGAATGTGATGGTGGGGACAGAGACAGAAGTAGACGTAGACTTGTCAACTCGTACATCCACAGAGGGCAAAAGACTTTTCACGTAGAGAAAGAAAGACTCTGTTGGAGGCATGGAAAGATATGTCTGTACTCCCACTGCAGAAGTGGAATGCAGTGCAGCAGCATGTGTGGAACAGGGGACAATAACTTCCGAACCTCGGGGTAAGAAATTTTATTTACAGCTTTCAAACACACTGTACCCTTTTTTATTCCAACCTACGTATTTACGAAACAAAATTTAAAACAAAACACACAAACTTTCGAAAACTGAACTTTTCGTAGATCATTTTGTACCTAAACAAGTGTTTGAATATCACTTGTCAGAAAAAGAAACATTCGTTGACACGTGAGTTTGCTACAACACTCGATATTCGATTATTGTACAAATATTAGATACAGTAAAAATTGGCGTTTTCTTTATAGACAATAGCAGTTTGATTAGTCTCTTTATGACTTTTTTTGATTGTCAAAATTTCTCACACCATAATTCGTCCATAATCAAGAACGCTGGATGAAGCACAGTGTGGACTTCTTTGTAAATGTTTTTCTGTTGTGTGAAAATTCGAAAAAGACAGATTAAGTGATGATCAAATTTTTTGATCAGTTAATATAAACTTTCGATCAGATCAAACTATCTACTCAGAAATGACTAAAAATCAGCTTAATAACGAGTACAGCTAATTATATATTTTACGTTATTAGTTATAAAAATCAAAACGCGTTGTTTAATCAGTAGGACGTCAAAGCCGTTAGCGATATTTTCGGTCGTAAACCCAATAATACCTCACGATATTCAGCGAGCTTACAAGACTTAGGTTAGTCTTAAGTCCATATACTAAGCTAACTACGTAAAAAAATCTCTATAATATATTAAAATACTTAAAAACTACATATTTTAAACATTCTAATCAATATTGTTAATGAAAGTATTATTAAAGAAATAACAGAGTAAACTTAACATGAGTAGAACCATGTATAAACTAAACTTTCCATAATCCTGCGAAAAAACGTCTTGGAGCCAATGAAAATTCTTTAATGCACTCCAAACTGAACAATTAAATGAAATGTTCGAAATATCACTGTAAAGTAAAATCCATTCAAATATATATTTTATGTATGTTTTCGGAAAGTTGGGCTTACAGTTCTATCGAGTGTCACTCAGTTCCAGCCCTTCAAAAGAATAAGGTAAAGATAAAACCATTTAATCAACACATTCTGAAAACTAAAATATTAATTGAAATAGAATTTCACTTTGAAAATGACCTGGTTTGTAATAATCTAAGTGGTTTAGGCATTTTTAAGTTTTGATTGTTATTTTCCTTGAAATCTGGACTTGAAAATGTTATCAGATTATTAAGTAAGGTACTGATACTGAGAAATTTAATACATTCGTTTCTTTAGACTGACAGAAAAGGACGAACGTTTGATGTGATATTTCTCGCGTGGTCTATTAGAAGGAGTGCAATATACATTATTTAGGATCTGGCGGCACAGAACTATCAACTACGTTATAGATACTACACGTTATTCGTAAGGATCTACGTTAGATGAGAAATGTACATTTTGTGGATTTCTAACACGGAATTATACGAGGACTATTACAACCACTTAAACTGCCGTCAGTGAGCTGAATCGAGAGAACCCGTGTTATCCATGCAAGAATCTGACATTCCTGACATAAAATGAATAGTTGGGTCTTCTAATAACAACCTAGACAATTTGCCTAACAACCAATATACCTCAAAACACGAAATATCGTACCTAACAACCAATATACATCAAAACATGAAATAGTATTCAATTAACTCATTAACCAACGTACATTTAGGCATGCTAATATCATTCTACGTACTGCTATGGGAAGCAAAATGAGACCCAGAAGTTACCGTTTGCACTCAGATTATCCGTTAATAGTTGAATGGATTACGTTCCTCGTTGATTAATCAATGCTTAGGCATTACGAATATTTTAATTAACTTAATCATTACGGTTTCAGTGAACCAAACTAAATCCTTTTGTAAAATATCTTTACCAGTCTCTGACTAACATGACTTTATGTGGGATCTATCAGATTAATCACGTTTGAGATTTCTAAGCCTGATTGCTGAGTCACTGGGGAAAAAACACTGGGATAGATCTGCTACAAGTATCGAAACTTGATTTTTACAGTTATAAGATGAATGTTAATGTGAAAGTTTCTTGCATATCATTACTGAACTATCAATCGACCAAACTTTCAGCGAAAAATAACTCTTGCATAAGCTTTAAGAAACATTCTATATAATTTAAACAAGTCTTTTTTATTGTATTGACTCATTTCGCGTATCTTACCTATCCTTACTTAAATTGCTTGAGTGCTCCTTCCACCTCTATTAGCGGTTAATTTCTTTATGGATTTTTGCTACATAACATAAGACCGGTTAATGTACAATCAAAAGAAAGTTCCATGAAATAAGGTTTTTCTTGTCCGATTATCTTTTTCATTGAACAGATTTTTATCTGAGTACTTCGTTGATAAAAGATACATTATTGCATTTCTAGATACTCATCTATCATTATCAGATCTTATGGTGTTATGTGTAAGAAAACTGTACAATAACAGAGAATATGTTATTAAATCTGCGGGTGATAAAGCGTCCATAGGAAAAGTAGCGAATCAAATCAGCTTGTTGCTTTCAGTTATTCTAGTTGTCTTGAAAACAATAACAAGAAAAAAAAAACAGATTCAAATGATCGTGGCAACTAGTTTTACTTAGTTGGGATTGGAACATTTTACCTAGAATGTACATTTTTCTTCTCAAAAGCACAGTAGAATAACGAGTTAGATGTCATTATTTTCCTCGGGGAAATTATATTTTTCGTTTTATTTTCAGAGACAGTATATAGGACGATAATATTACGGTCTTTCACTGTATCATTTTTTTGAACGGCAAACAAAAGTTTTGATGATGTGGGGGAGATATATGATTAACCTATATCTCTCCGAGGCTTCTTAATATGATGTGGCGTTAACTTGTTTCTGATATCAAAATCCGTATTTCAGTGTAAATTTTGAGAACTTGAAAAAAAAAAAAGAAACAAATTAGTCCGACTTATTTTTTTTTGTTTTAACATGTAAATGAAGTAATTTAAAATATTTCCTTTTTTAAGTAACGATTCTGAGAACGTTTATTTTTTTCTTTCAAATTTTATATATTTGCTTAGATGAAGCAATAATCGAATCTGTTATTTTGTCAGATTTCTGTTTTTCTTTTATCCGTTTCTTAAGGAAAAACATAAAAAAAAATTAAGTAATCCAGCTTTTTATTAACATACAGCTGTCCAAATCTAAGGAGCAATCGGTTTACATTCGTACCGTTGCCTTGGAAACCGCTGGAGTTTATAAGTGTGAAGTATCAACTGAAGCGCCTGTATTCGACACTGTGTCAGCTAAGAAGGAGATGAACGTATACGGTAAAGTTGTTTGCTTTTTTTTTCACTATTATATGTGGAAAATATTTTAGGTGGTTAAGTTCAGTTCTTATTTACTTGGAAACCTATGTTGAAAGTATACAAATTTATCATTAGATGGCGTTTTAAAAAATGGACGTATAAGATATGAATTTACAAACATATTCAAAACATTATTTAGACAATTAGGTTTGTGACGGTAGATTTATTATATACAACAAAGAGAAGCTAAAGCGTAATTATAGCCTTCACTTTTGAAGTCGTTATTTTAGGAAAATAATACTGTTTCGTATATATTCTTGGGCTTCACTGTATTGTACTGAAATAACTAAAACATTTAGAAACGACACCCTGCTACACATAATTAATTGAATTCTCTTTTGACAGTTTTCATCACAAAACGAATAGTTGGGAAAAAAGGCCCTGTGTGTTGTAGTTGTTTACTACATTTTATTAACTCGCACAAAATAAATAATAGATATTTTCAAACACAGAAATCTTTTCATGTTGTAGGATAAGTAATTAATAATTTTGTTTTTGTTATTTAGGTCCTACTGAAAATGTTGTATAGTCTGTGAACTTTAACATGGAAGCTTGAGATATTACATGCTGAATAAAGGTTTATGCAGAAGGTTTTTTTTTATTTGTGCAAATGTGGTATTAAAAATTACCTGCGATTTTTATTTCATTTGTGCAAATGTGGTACTGAAAATCACCTGCGATTTTTTATTTCATTTGTGCAAATGTGGTACTAAAAACTACTTGCGATTTTTGATTTCATTTGTGCAAATGTGGTACTAAAAACTACTTGCGATTTTTGATTTCATTTGTGCAAATGTGGTACTAAAAACTACTTGCGATTTTTTATTTCATTTGTGCAAATATGGTACTCAAATTACCTACAAGTGTATAATTTATTTGTGCAAATGTGGTACTAAAAATTAACTGCGATTTTTTATTTCATTTGTGAAAATGTGGTACTAATAATTACTTAAATGTTTAATCTATTGTGTTTTTTCTCTCTCAATATCGCGTTTGTTTCCAATATAATAAATCTATTTTCGAATATTTTCTTATAACGTACTTTTTAGGAAAAAAAAAATGCAAAACCCGCTCTTTCCCTGTTACATTTTGATACTTTACAATCCCTAACTATAAGGTATTTGATTTTATTATCTGTATCTGAATTAATAATAGGTTTTTTCTGTATTGTCATGTGTTAATGGAAAATGTTGAATACGGTAATATATTTTTTTAAACAAACTATAGTTTAAAAAATACCTTAGGGCCTCTGTAACCCCCACCAATCATCACTCTATCAGTTAAGGATTAAATGGTATGCCTTTGAGGTAAGTACTTTTCGTACCCCATGTAAGGATATGGACGCTGAAGACGGCATATTACATGTTTTGCCATAGTGGAATTACCTCTTGTTCAGTAGAACATGCTATAACTTAATCTTTTTTTAAAAGTTGATTAAATTTTATTTAAACTCTTTTATTTTCCTCCAGTTTCATCTGGCAGAGAATTCTGAAAGCAAGTAAACAAATCGCTATGGGATGGTTGAATGATTTACTTTTTTTATGCTCAAAGTAACTCAAACTCAGCGCTATATCAAGCTTTCCTCTCCTGTTGGTCGTGTCTACCAGCACTAATTCACTTATCTAAATGATGTATTTTGAAATATATTTGTAAAATTAGACTCCGCAGATTTTCCTTAACTGGATGTGGTTGTTGATCATTTTACTGAGGTATTGTGGGTAAATAACGGGAAGAAAACTTTTGGCTGCCGGATTTTTACTTAAAACTGAATGGAGTCCTTTATTTGATATCGATATACTGATTATTATTGAAATAGTGATGAAATATCAACATTGTTTTTGAGAACTGAAAAGCTCGCACTTATGTGTAATTCTAGAAACCATGATAATCATTATCCGCCATGAAGAACCATTTATCTTTCAAGTCAACAGTTCGTTTTGTTCAAAGATCAATGTGAGATGCGGTGATTCAACACATTCCTGAAACAACACCCAGTAAAAACTGTAATTTAAATCCTGATCATCGATCTGTCGACTGTTCTGATCATAGCTTATTTTTTGTCTTCTTCGAGGTGTTTGATTTAGTTAGTAACTTAAGGCTACTGCAAGCAAAAATTAAACACAAACAGTCAGTGCTTATACACAATAATCAGGCTTTGTAAGCTAGAACCGTCAATTACGTATCACATACAGTAAGCATTAACTAGGCCTAGCTACTGTATATAGTACCCACGTTTATATTACTATAAAAATTATCTCTCAGCTAATGTAAGCATAAAAAAAAAGGCAAAATTTGAAAACAATTATTAGAATGGGTCTAGTGTATAGAAGGTGTGAATTGCGTATGGAACATAGCAACGAAGAGTTTGTATTTGATTTCACTGTCTTTTGTAAATTAATACTAATAATACTGTATTATTACAACCAATAGTGTTACCAACCGAAGGCCCTAAAATTACAGGAAGACACATGAAGTATCGAGTAGGAGATACTGTAACAGTCAATTGTACCTCAGCCAAATCTAAGCCGGCGGCTTCTCTTGCTTGGTATATCAACGACAAAAAGGTAACTAATTAGTTTCTTTCGTTAAAAATATCTTGTTATTGGTATTTGTTATGTATTATTAGAAGAATTTTACTTGAGGTTTACTTAATAATACATAATAAATACTACACAGTAGTAAACCTCAAGTAAAATTCTTCTAATAATACATAATAAATACTACACAGTAGTAAACCTCAAGTAAAATTCATCTAATAATACATAATAAATACTACACAGTAAGGAATTTTACTTGAGGTTTACTACTGTGTAATATTTATTATGTATTATTAGAAGAATTTTACTTGAGGTTTTCTACTGTGTAGTATTTATTATGTATTATTAAAGGAATTTTACTTGAGGTTTACTACTGTGTAGTATTTATTATGTATTATTAAAGGAATTTTACTTGAGGTTTACTACTGTGTAATATTTATTATGTATTATTAGATGAATTTTACTTGATGTTTACTACTGTGTAGTATTTATTATGTATTATTAGATGAATTTTACTTGAGGCTTACTACTGTGTAATATTTATTATGTATTATTAGAGGAATTTTACTTAAGGTTTTCTACTGTGTAATATTTATTATGTATTATTAGATGAATTTTACTTGATGTTTACTACTGTGTAGTATTTATTATGTATTATTAGATGAATTTTATTTGAGGCTTATTACTGTGTAGTATTTATTATGTATTATTAGATTAATTTTATATGAGGTTTACTACTGTGTAATATTTATTATGTATTATTAGAGGAATTTTACTTGAGGCTTGTTACTGTGTAGTACGGAAACATGTATCATCAAGCTTTATTATACTGTAACACGAATTGTTGTCCAATTCGTTAGAAGTACTGTCTTACCTTAATAGGTGACGATATATTTTCAGTCTTACTCTTTAAACTCTAAAAACTTTCATTAGGTTGACAGCTGGTTTTTATTTAAAAATAAAATTCTTCAATTTTTTTTAGAACAGATTTCCATCAAATTTGGCAAGCATGGTACCGAAAAAGTAACCTTTCATATAAGATCTGGTGATAATATTTAATACATAACCTTTACAACAAGTGAACTGTAGCCTGATATCAGTGATTTTATTAGATGCCTATATATAGTTTCACCACCAAAATGATAAAAGTGCTTTTCGCCTAATAAATTAAGATTTATCGTGTGCATTTACTGCTCATATTTCTGTATTGAGTTTCAGTATGCGCATAGCACTCAAGTTATGTTAACGGACTCTTATTATTTTAGTTTAATACAACATCTTAAAATCATTCCGAAGTAAGGACTTAGTGGTAAATTCAGATTTTCAAGATGTTTTATCTTTTCCCCAATATATGTTCATAAATTTCCCTGTAATATGCCGAAGCTTTATGTATTTTCTTTTCCCTTCATGGACATTTGGTCACCTACTAGTAAAGGAAGCTGAAAGCTTGTTTCATAACAAAGAGAACCGACAGCATTGTTAGAATTAATCCTCTTTGCATGGCCTTGTCCTGTCAGTCATTTCTAAGTGTATAATGTGGTGTGAATGTAGACTTGGATAATGGTTGTTAAACTTGCCAAACTCCATGATATGACGGTGATGCCTGTAGGGTGATTGAGTACGTGCCATTTAGCCTTTGTTATTATAAACACAAGGGCTGAAGAAATGATGCCGGGTTTAGTGAGATCCGACTTTTCACTATGCAATTTATATAACCCAGCATATTGAGTACGGAAATATACTCCAGAATCTGGTGGACTGAATTCATAAGAACATCAACTCCACATTGGTGTCTACGTGTCCTTAATGAGGCAAGGAATAGAAAGTGTGCTCCTAGCAAATCGATCTCCACCTTTCTTCCAACACCTATAGGTGGTCACCATCATGAACTGTTATTCTTCCTTTTTGGCTTTTGCTATGCTTTGTCTTCATCCCTCATTTGCTACATGTAGCTGAATTCATAAATAATTTATAGAGCCGAAACGATAGGGTAAGGAACTGTAAGAAGACTGTAGACGGACGCCAAGATCCCTTCTAGTAAGTTGGTCTTCCGTTATGATCGCCCAGAGACAATTCAGGGTTTATTGGAAATCCTTTATGCAATAAATCATTTACTACACAACTAAATGTCACTCCAATATTTTGAAACGCTCAGATTTTTAGTCTACCATTTTTAACCTGATTATATTTCTGTACTTGTATAGTTTAAAGTGTGAAGTATAAGCTGATTTTACGCTTTTTATTTATTTGTGGAAACATACATTTGTAGTTTCGTTGAGGTGTTTCAAAATACTCATCATTCTGATTGATCGTGCATTTTAATAAGAAGAAAAGCGAAGGTAGAAACACATGCTGGACAGTATTGGTCCTGAAGGGGAATATATATATATATATAGTACTGGACCGTATTGGTCTTGAAGGGGAATATATATAGTGCTAGACTGGGCTGGTTCATAAAGGTAATACATATAATACTGGACTGTGTTGGCTCAGGTAATTGAACAGTATTGGTTCAGAAAGGTAACAGATATAAAGTTGACTGTGTTGATCCAGGAAGGTAATAGATATAATGTTGACTGTGTTGGTTCAGAAAACTAATAGGGTCAGAAGGGCAATACTTATATTGCTGGACAGTGTTGTTTCAGAAAGGTAATACATATAGTGCTGGATTGTGTTGGTTCAGATAGGCAGTACATATATAATGCTATGTTTTCTAAGAAGGCAGTACATATAATGCTGGTTCATATAATGCATACAATTTTCTGTTTAGTAAACTTAGTTTTCCTGTTTCGAAATCGAATATTACACAAACAAAGTATACTCCTTATAATGTTATAGAAACTTCGTGTAACACTGTAGACAAAAAACATATCAACGATAGTTTATACACCAGCAAAATAAGTTTCGACATCAGAAAATTCTAATGTAGCTATTCAGAATAACCGAGTTCTGTATTTTCAGTATACAAGCTATCTTTGTTCACAGAAATAAGATACCAGAGTGCCTGGCATGGCCAGGTG